GCCTACTGTAGGTGACCCTGCTTCGGCAGGAGGGTTGGACTAGATGACCCACAGAGGTCCCTTCCAACCCCTACCATTCTGTGATTCTGTGGAAACACAATTTAATGTATTAGGCTTATTGGTGATCTGCTGTGGTTTGAGGCAGATCTCCTTGTTAAATAGCGAACAACTTTTAGGTGGCATTTGATTTCAGTGGTGCATCATACAAGATGCTACAGTGTTTGATACTTTTTTTTTTTTAATGCAATATGTTAAAGTGCAGTAGAATTCAGGGCTGGGTGCAGGTAGCTGTCTGTTGCAATGAAAAAGTGCAAGAAATTCTGCAAGAAAAGTTTAAGTTGTCTGTGAAATATATTCTGGCCTGATCATTTCCACATTCAAATGTGTAATCGGACTACTTTAGACTCAGCTGTATGTTTCTCTTGAATTTATCACAGAAAGAAGTATCAGCGGAAAGCAGTGACAAGCAGAATTTACTCCTCAAGGGCAGCCAGGATGAAGTGGCAGTTACTCGAACGCAGAGTGACTGATATCATTATGCAGAGGATGACCATTTCCAATATGGAGGCAGATATGAACAGGTTACTTACGGTGGGTGATCTACTAAACACTGTTAGCTGTATCATCATATTAAATAGAGAGAGAAGTGCATTTATGTTCACTGTAAATGAATTGCTGTGATGGTGGCCTAGGCAAAGTGATTGGAATCCATTGCAATCAATGAAGCAGCTCTAAACAACGCCAGTAAGCATTTGGATCATGGGATTGCTGTGCTTAGTAAGAAATAAAAAGCACATTAATGGAATCACGTGCAAATATATTAGTTTGTATTACTTCTTCCTGTAAAAATCATGATATATTAGTTGAAATATAAGAAGGAAAACAAAACAAAAAGGCGCTTAAATGCCCTAAGTGTTTACTAATTCCTTTTTATGTAATATTATGTTTTTTGGGAAAATAGCAACGTGAAGAACTTACAAAAAGAAGAGAGAAGCTTTCAAAGAAAAGGGAGAAGCTCATCAAGGACGGAGGTGGAAGTGAAGCAGATAGAAATGTCCAAAACATAAATGAAGAGGTGGAGTCACTAACTGCAAATATAGACTACATTAATGACAGCATTTCTGACTGCCAAGCAAATATTATGCAAATGGAAGAAGCAAAGGTAGGTCAAATCTTAGTGCAAAATCGGCATAATGGAGAAAAGAAAAACCAACTGTGTTAGCCTTGAAAATGTTCTCACTTAAAAATGAATTTTGTTTTGGCTGTATAACTGTTGAACCCAGAATTTAAAACTGGTGAAAGCTTGGGTGAAGTCTGAAACAGAGCGTTTATACAGCTGAGTTTTCAGATCTGAATTTTAGTGTCAATAGCATAATGCAAGTTAAGATTGCAAAGCATTTAAATGTCAAAGCGGATGCTTTCTATTCTGCTGGCATTAAATTAATGTTATTTGGGACTGAAGGCTAACAGCTTGCATTATCTTCCTGCAGCTGTTGATACGCTTCCCCTCCCTTGTATTGTTTCTGTATACTGTAAGTATAGTTAAGTATTCTTGCGTGTAAGAATTCATATAAATTCATAATATTGCATTTTGGTATATTTTCAATCATGGAACAGTGGCTTTCTGTAACTAGAGAGCCTTTTCAGGCCAAGTTGCGTGTTTAGGGTTGACTTTTCAAATAGTAATTTAGTAAAGGGAAGTTGTCTATTACGATTGATGTAGAAATTTGAGTATTACCAAAAGCAGGGAAATCCAAATGTGAAAACTCTTATAATGTGTATCATATCTTACATGATCTAGCAGGAAGAATCCACCACATACAGTCTCCTAGGTCTCTTGGTATGTGGTAGCATGAAATCACAGAATGGAAGGGGTCATCTAGTCTAACCCCCCTGCTAAAGCAGGGTTGCCTAGAGCAGGCTGCACAGAAGCTTGTCCAGGCGGGTCTTGAATATCTCCAGAGAAGAAGACTCCACAGCCCCTCTGGGCAACCTATTCCAGGGCTCCGTCACCCTCAGAGGGAAGAAGTTCTTTCTCATGTTCAGCTGGAACTTGCTATGTTTCGGTTTGTGCCCGTTGCCCCTTTTCCCATTGCTGGGTACCACAGAAGAGAGTCTGGCTCCATACTCTTGTCACTGGCCCTTAAGGTTTTTATAAGCATTTATTAGGTCCCCTCGCAGCCTTCTCTTCTTCAGGCTGAACAAGCCCAGCTCCCTCAGCCTTTCCTCAAAGGAGAGATGCTCCAGTCCCCTCATCATCTTTGTAGCCCTCTACTGGACTCTCTCCAGTAGCTCCTCCTCTTTCTTGAAGTGAGGAGCCCAGAACTGGACAGAGTATTCTAGATGCGGCCTCAACAGGAACGGGACATAGTAGAGGGGGGAGGAGAACCTCCATTGACCTGCTGGCCACACTCTTCTTAATGCACCCAGGATCCCATTGGCCTTCTTGGCAACCAGGGCACACTGCTGACTCATGGTCAGCTTGTCTGAACTGCAATGCTTACCGGTATTTTTACATGGCAGTGCTTGAGTTCTTCCTCTCCTGCCTTGAGCTAATCTGTGCTTTAATAAATGTTACACTGCGAGCAGCTTTCACTATTTTACTCACATCAGGTTTTCTTTCATTTTGGACAGCATGGTGCAAGATTACAGGACTTTATCAGAGAAGTAGTAGTGAACACAAAAGGCTTAATCATTCTTGAGGGTACTAGAGTGCTTAATACAGACTGAGAATGATTGGAAGAAAAAAGAGGGAAAGACTAGGGGGAGAAGTCTTCGGGTGCATGAAGGCTGCAGAGAGTGAACAAATACACTCATTTCTGCATCCACGGTGAATAGCTTTGCTTGTAGAAAGAAGAGAATCTGAGTTGGAGGTTGAGAAGAGCTTTCTAATAGGAAAGGAACTGAAGCACTGGGAGAGACTGGGAATTTTGCAGTCTGTACAGTGGAGTGTTTTGGGGATAGTTTGGGAAAAAAAATGTCAGACATGGTTTAGAGGTACCAAGAGGATGAACTGGGTGATACTGCAGTGTCTTCACTGTTTCTGCTTTCTGATTACAGTAATGAATTAAAAAGAAAAATCTAAAAATGCGTTTCTCTCTGATTTTTTTGTTGCACACATAGGAAGAAGGTGAGACCTTGGATGTAACAGCAGTGATTAATGCTTGCACTTTGACAGAAGCTCGATATTTGCTTGACCACTTCCTCACGATGGGTATCAATAAGGTAATGCACGAAGTGAAATATGTGTGTGCCAGGACTATGGCATGTACCAGGAACAGAGCTGTGCTGACATAAAGACTAAGTAATGTGAATTTATGACTGTGAAAAGTAAGCCAGACAAAAAAAGTTGGCCAATGCTACCGAGTCATGCTGGTTCTCACTGTGGAGGCCCGTGAGATCCATTGTCCGCTTCAATCTGTTGCCTGTTTTTCAACTCCCAGTAGAGCCTACTTCATTTATTACCTCATGTTGCTCTTATAAGAGCAGTAGCGTTTTGTAATGAAATAAATAATCTCCTTCTATGTTTTTCAATAAGCTCCTAAAGAACACTCAGGATCTTTTTTTGAAGACTGACTCAGCCACTTTCTTAAAATCGTGAGCTTTTAAAATATGTTTATGCATAACATTTAGTCAGACTTCTACTTTTGAGTAGAGCAATATGAGCTTTTTCTGAAAGCCTTGGGGAGTAATATTTTCAAAATGAATATTTGGCAGTTCATATAGTCCTTTGCACACATGCGTCATGTGCTCTTGCTGCTGCTTTTGCTTGCTGTTTGGAGGCCATACTCGGTGTCACCGAATCAAATGAAAGATTTCAAGGCTGTTGAAATGGGCTTTGGGTCAGTTCCAGTGACCAATTCTCTGTTCATTTTATGCATTCTTGATTCATTGCTGTGCAGGTAATCAAAAATATTTGTGTTGTGATTTTGTGTGTGTTTTTTGTTTTTTTTTAAAAATTCCCCCAATCACATTGACTTCTGCAATTTTCAGTCCTTTTTTTTTTTTGTAGCCCTTGGGTTGAATGGCTATCTCTGACTTACGATAAGGAGAAATTGTGAACAGTGATAAAAAGGTTAATTTGTTGTCATGGTTTAGCCCTGGCCAGCAACAGAGAACTATGTGGCCACTATCACCCCTCTCCCTGGTGGGGTGGAGAGGAGAATGGGAAGAAAAAGGCATAACTTGTGGGTTGGGATAAAGACAGTTTAACAAAACAGCAAAGGAAGTGAGCAGCAACAGCAGTAATACTGGTAAGAACAAGGGAATACACAGAGCAATTCTCTCTCACCGCCCGATGCCCAGTGTGCTCTGGAGCAGTGATTAACCTCCCCCCAGGCAGCTTCCCCACTCAGACCCAAGCGTGATGTCCCATGGTATTGAATACCCTGTTTGTTTGGCCAGTTTGGGTCAGCCATATGGTCTGTGTCCCTCCCTGGCTTCTTGTGAGAATTAACCCTATCTCAGCTGAACCCAGGACATTATCCACCCCTTGTTGTATACCATCTACATCATGCCCAGGTCCCCCATTTTCCAATTAATCACCACCACTTTTCCTGTCTTGAATATATATACACATACAGATATCATTCTCTTAGTCTATGGACCATTCCTCTAAAATGTCCACTGACAATCAATGACTTTGGGCTCCATCGGTCAGAACAGTCTTTCAGGGTAGGAGAGATGATATATGGTGTTGGATGATTACATGCTGCATCCGGAGCTTGTGGCTTGGCTTGCCTTGGTGGGTTTGTGGCAGTGCGATATGATCAATCTGCCAAGCTTCCCCATATTTATATTTCAGCTATTGTCCTCCATACCACTGAGGCTTTACCTGCTTAGCTGGCTTGCTTGATTGCAGCGTGTGTTTCATGGATAACCTGTGCAATGGTGTCCATGGTCAAGTCCACCCCTCAGTCACAAGCCCATCTATATGTTGTGTCTCTTCCTTGATGGCCTGAGGAGTTGTGAGCCCACTGAGCCACAAACAATTCACCCTTATGTTGCCAGTCCAGATCCACCTGAGCCACTTCAGTTTTAGCAGCCTGATGCACCTGCTGGGTGTTTTGATGTTCCTCAGTGGGCTGACTCTTGAGTACAGGGGCATCCACATGATGTACTTTTACAACCAGCTTCTCCAGCCAAGCAGCAGTATCTTGCTACAGTGGGACAGCCCAGATGGGTTTGCCCCTGTGCTGCCAGTTGCTCTGCTTCCACTGCTGTAGCCACCCCCATAGGGCATTTGCCACCATCCATGAGTCAGGGTAGAGATAGAGCACTGGCTGCTTTTCTCGACTGGCAGTGTCTAAATCTGGCTGGATGGCTTTTACTTCTGCAAACTGGCTTGACTCACCTCCCTCAGCAGTTTCTGCAACTTGTTGTGTGGGACTCCATACAGCAGCCTTCCACCTCCTAATGCTTTCCCACAATGCGACAGGACCCATCAGTGAACAGGGCATATTGCTTCTCATTTTCTGGCAGTTTATTGTGCAGAGGGGCCTCTTCAGCACATGTCACCTCCTCCTCTGAGTCCATGATCACTTCTAGAATTCGTGGGTGACTGGGGATTCCCGTTTGGGCTGGCTCTGTGATCAGTGCAGCTGGTTTACTCCATGTAGCATCAGCTGTATGATGTGTAGAGGGGACCCTCTCTTTGAACATCCAGCACAGGACTGGCAGTTGTGCTAAGAGGAGCTGTGCTTCAGGACCGACCACTTCCAGCGCAGCTCGAACTCCTTCATATGCTGGCAGAATCTCTTTCTCAGTTGGAGTATAGTGGGCCTCGGATCCTCTGTATTTCCAACTCCAAAACTCCAGAGGTCGACCTCAAGTCTCCCCTGCTGCTTTTTGCCAGAGATGCCAGGTTGGGCCATTCTCCCCAGCTGCAGTGTAGAGCATGTTTTTAACATCCTGTCCTGACTGGACTGACCCAAGGGCTACTGCATGAACTATCTCCTGTTTAAGTTGTTCAAAGGCTTGTCATTGTTCAGGGCCCCATTCAAAATCGTCCTTTTTCTGGGCCACTTGATAGAGAGGGCTTACAATCTGGTTGTAATTTGGGATGTGTATCTACCTAAGCAGGCTTGTGTTTCCTTCTTGCTAGTTGGTAGAGATGTAGCTGCTGTTTTGCTGACCACATCCATTGGGATCTGGTGACACCCATCCTGCCATTCTATTCCTAAAAATTGGATCTCCTGTGCAGGTCCCTTGACTTTACTTCATTTTGTGGTGAAATCGGCTTTCAGAAGGATCTGAACTATTTTCTCCCCTTTCTCAAAAACTTATTCCACTGTATTGCCCCACACAGTGATGTCATTGATGTACTGTAAATGTTGGACTTGATGATCTTGGAGGTCTTTTCCAACCTTGATGATTCTATCTTCTGGAGCTTCACCCTTTTCCAGTGCAGTCTGGATTAGTCCACGGCAAATGGTGGGGCTGCGTTTCCACCCCTGGGGCAGTCGATTCCAGGTGTACTGGACACCCCCTCCAAGTGAAAGCAAAATGTGGCCTGCACTTTGCTGCTAAAAGGATTGAGAAGAATGCATTAGTGATGTCAGTGGTGGCATACCACTTGACTGCCTTTGACTCCAGCTGATATTGAAGTTCTATCATGTCTGGCACGCCAGCACTCAGTGGCAGCATGACTTCACTCAGGCCACGGTAGTCTACTGTCAGTCTCCACTCTCCAGCAGATTTTCTTACTGGCCATATGGGACTATTAAAGGGTGAGGAAGTCTTGCTGATCACTCCTTGATTCTCCAGCTGACGAATCAGCTTATGGATGGGGACCAGGGAGTCTCAGTTGGTGCAGTATTACCACCAGTGCACTGTTGTGATAGCTATTGGCACCTGTCGTTCTTCAACTCTCAGCAATCCCACAACAGAAGGATCCTCTGAGAGACTGGGCAAAGCAGACAGCTGTTGTAATTTCCTCTGTCTCCAAGGCAACTATACCAAAAGCCCACTGGTACCCTTTTGGGTCCTTGAAATACGCTTTCTTGAGATAGTCTGTGCCAGGGATTCAGGGGCAGTCACAATGGGGTGCTTCTGCCACTGCTTTCCAGTTAGGCTCACTTTGGCCTCAACACAGTTAGCTGTTGGGATCCCCCTGCCATTCCAGACATACAGATGGGTTCTGCCCCTTTGAAATCTGATGGCATTAAAGTACACTGTGCACCGGTGTCCACTAGCGCTTTATACTCTCGTGGATCTGGCGTGCCAGGCCATCAAATCCATGCAGTCCAATAAGCCCAGAGGTCCCTTTCCTCTACCTGGCTGGAGGCAGGACCCCTCTAATCCAGGTCAGAGTATTTGTTACTCACTTCCTGTAAAAATGACTGAGAAATCCCTTCAAGAGGTTCAGAAGTAAGATCAAGGTTTCTGCTTTGTCTGGAGAACTGCCCAATGGAGACTGGAGTGGCATTTTTCCGAGAAGAATCCCCTTTTGTGATTATTTTTCCTTGCAACTCATGCCTTGGGTTGAGGTAGGTTTTCCATCCCACTTCCTCATGTACTCTCCGTGGTCACGCAGGTAAAACCACAGGATGCCTCGTGGTGTGTAGCCTCTCTAGAGCAGAGAAATGCTTACTCTTAACAGCAGAGATAGTGGTCTGTACAGGTGGGGAGTAGGATCTATCCTCTTTGAGTTTTTGGACCTTCTGGGACAATTCCTCCACAGCTGAGATGAGGGAGGAAGGGAGGCTTGCTTTATATTGCTGGAGTCGGACAGCCACTTCATCCACCATTGGTGCCTCTTCACCTTTCCAGTCTATTACTGCCAGTGAGTTGGCATATGAGGATGGTGCGCTCTGTACAAACTTCCTCCACATGGGTCGTGTGTACTGGACTTCATCTGGGTCTGTGGGTAACTGCTCATTGTCTGGGTCATAGTAAGCCAGGTTCCGCACAGCCAATTCTCTCAGGTACTGGATACTGCTCTCCATATTGGTCCACTTGCCTGCATAACATACAACATTCCCACTGTCAGGGTATCTTTCCCTCATGCCTGACAGAAGCCGCCTCCAGAGGCTGAGCTTGTGCCTTTTTTCCAATCGCCATGTCAATGCCCCCTTCCCTGGCCAGGGATCCCAGCTGCTTGGCTGCCCTGGCCTCTAATTCCAAGCTACGGGCCCTGTTATCCCAGCACCAGAGCAGCCGGTGACAATGTGGTCGCCTGGGTGGGGGCTGAATTCTTTCTCACGTCTTGCAGCTCTCTCAGGGACAGAGAGTGAGTGATGATCTCTGCCTCTGCCGCCTCCTCCTGCTCCTGTGATGGCCCTGGCTCACTGTCACCCCTCATGGGGCGAACTGATTTTTTTTATTTGTGTATTTCTTCTTCTGTGTGGGGGCAACTGATACCGGCGTGGGCTGGTACAGCCACAGTGCCTGTTGTAGGGGTTGGGGCAGCTGCAGTGCTGGTCAGTTTGTTTTCCCTCCACTTCCCCTTGAGAGCACTGAATGGTGTTGAATAAGGCTTGGTAGGCACGGGCTAGGCCCCAGCACAATGCAGTGATTTGTTTGTCTCTAGAATTGCCAAGGTGACAGCATACTCTTCCACATATTTTACTAGTTTGTCAGGATTCTGCACTTGTTCAGGGGTGAGGTTTAAAAACACCAGAGGTGCCCACTGTCCTAGATACTTGCCCATGCTCTCCCACACCACCTGCCACTCGTAGCTATCCAGCCCCGGGGCAGTTCTCTGGGTTATATTTTTAGATAGTTTTTTAACCCTAAACAAGACCTGAAACCCATTCAGGAGACAGAACATTAGGAGCATGCTGGTTTGAACATCCCATGGATACTCAAAATTCTCAAAAGCCTTTATCACTAGCTTGAAGAAGAAAAGAGGAGTGAAAGAGTGGGGGAAGATACCCCCTCTGGTTTTCCACATAGAGTGGGTTTGATTATTGATAAATTCTGAAAGATGGCATCCCCAGTACAGAAATGACTGCAGTGCTGCATACAGATATAAGCCTAACCTCATGCCCAGTGATGTCATATCGTAAGTCAATATTACACGGTACAGCAAAATCATAATCCTGGTCCTTTTCCCAGAGGTGATAAACATCACCTCAGGGAGCACATACAGCATGTAAGGGTTTACATACCCCAACCACACGACCAAACAAAGCAACATTTTGACCAGCGACTATTTAACTAATGCAATAAACGCATGTAACAAAATATAACAAAGTTGTTTTAACACCTTCTGTTATCCCAACCATTTGTGCCCCACATTGGGTGCTGAAAAGGATGTGGTTTAGCACTGGCCAGCAACAAAGAACCACGTGGCCGCTCTATGGCCTCTCTCCCCGGTGGGGTGGGGAGGAGAATGGGAAGGGAAAAAAAAAAGCAAATCTCGTGGGTTGGGTTAAGGATGGTTTAACAGAACAGCAGAGGAAGCTGATAAGAACAATTGAATACACAGAGCAATTCACTGCCTGATGCACAGCACGCTCTGGAGCAGCGATTAACCTCCCTCTGGCCAGCTGCCTCACTCGGACCTGAGCATGATGTCCCACGGTATCAAATACGTTTGGCCAGTTCGGGTCAGCCATTCTGGCTGTGTCCCCTTCTGGCTTCTTATGAGAAGTAAACCTATACTAGCTGAACCCAGGACCTATGTGAAGGTGTTTCTCCTCTTTCTGATCAGTAATTATTGTGTAGCAGAACTATAGGTATGTTTTCTTGCAAAAATGGTCATGCCTGCTGTCTATTCTGTTGTTTGTTTTCACATGCGAAATGTGTCTATTGATATGTTGTTTTAGTGAACGATAAAATCAGAATCTAATGTGTAAGTCACAGCCTCCCTTGGGCATCCCCCTGCTCCGGTGTGGGGTCCTCCATGGGCTGCAGGTGGAGATCCGCTCCACCGTGGACCTCCCTGGGCTGCAGGGGCACAGCCTGCCTCACCATGGTCTGCTCCACGGGCTGCAGGGGAACCTCTGCTCTGGCGCCTGGAGCACCTCCTCCCCCTCCTTCTGCATCGACCTTGGTGTCTGCAGAGTTGTTTTTTTTCTTGCATAGTCTCACTCTTCTCTCTGGCTACAAATGCCTTTATGCAGGTGTGGGTTTTTTCCCGCTTCTTAACTATGTTATCCCTGAGTTGCTACCACTGTCACAGATAGGCTTGGCCTTGGCCAACAGTGAGTCCATCTTGGAGCTGGCTGGTATTGGCTCTGTTGGACACAGGGGAAGCTTCTGGCAGCTTCTCATGGAATTCCCCCTAATAGCCCCCCTGCTACTGAAACGTTGCCATGCAAACCCAGTACAGTCCCTTTAACAGGGGGGGAAAAAAAAAGCAAAAAAAAAAAAATGGGCAAAAAAAAACCCCCAACCTTTAGTTGATAGGAGACCTTTAGGATGTGTCAGGAAGGTTACAACATACATGTTGTTTGTAGTTTTTAAAAAGTTTTGGCAATTCTTATTTTGTAACAAAGGAGTTGTGGTAAAGCATTTGTCATCTTTTTCTTTCTTTCTCCTAGGGTCTCCAAGCAGCCCAGAAAGAAGCTCAGATTAAAGTTCTTGAGGGACGTCTTAAGCAGACAGAAATTACAAGTGCTACTCAAAACCAACTGCTGTTTCATATGCTAAAAGAAAAAGCTGAGTTAAATCCTGAACTTGATGCTTTGCTGGGTCATGCTTTACAAGGTAATTCTGTCATCTTGTATTCTGAATAGTCAGCTGCATGTCACGTTTGCCTTCCTTGCATGCTGTACTGGGCATTCTAGGCTATTTCTTTTCTGAATAGATGCTGTATTTTAACATCTTAAACTGTATTTTGCAACTGATGTGCATGTATGTCATTTTTAAGTATATCCCCTCAGCAGTGAAATGTAGGAAATAAAGAAGGTTTTTTTTTATCATGGAGACTTTTTAAATTTAAATGATCTGCTGATTATTTTTATAGAAGACTATGCCTTTACAATTTCATATCATTTTGACTTCTAAACGTGAAATTCTAAATATGCAATCCTGTTCAATCATCACACATTAGTGATTATGAAAGTGGCATCATATGTCTGTTACGGCATCTATTCTACTTCTCATGAGGTGACATTAAGAAAATTTAGAACACATTTGGGTACATTTGTTTTATTTCTTTTTATAAATGGATATATTTTGATTGGAGTGTTGCTTTTGTTTCCTTGTTGCTGTTATTTACACAGACCTAGATAGCATACCGTTGGGTAAGTATGTTTAGCTTTCCATGTACTGTACAGCTGCATGAGTTACTAATTCATTGATGTTCACTAACTGGTGCATCTTAGAATTCGTAAGTTTGTGAAGTTTGCATGAACTGTTTTGTAAATGTATTCATTCTCATGAGCTTACAGAGATTTCTTCCTTTCTGAAACCACCCATAGCCCTCACGTTAGATTTGTCAGACAAGAAGTGAACACAGTAAGCAGAGCTGTATTTCAGATTTATGACTTACTGCTTACAAAGCTACAGTATGTTCAGACTACATAAAGCTATTTCATGTTACAGTACCACTGTAGTTGTGACAAATCCTGCTCAACTTTTTGAGTCTGAAAAAAAGTAGTTCTTAACATGCAGGTTATTTTTAACCTTTTGCAGATAGCTTGCTTTGTAAATATTTTACAGAATGCTATATCTCATGTTTTCAATTGGGTTTAGTTACTGACTTTACTGATTTTTTTGAGGAGATGAGTCTTTTGTTGTTGCTTTTAAATGATTCCCAAATAAATTGTGCTTTGCTCCCCTCCATTACTCCTAGCCACAAAATGGATTATGTTTGAAACTTGAAAAGAATATTCCTGATGTCAATAACAATTCCTTTTGTATTGTCTTGTATTCCTTCTAATCCAATTGTGCTGTCCTGTGCTAGTTTTCGTAGCCATCTGAAACATTTCAAAAGCACAAACTGCCTGAGAGTGTGTAGATCATGATACGGTGTAAACTGGTGAGAGCTTTGCCAGCTTCCTGACAGGTGACACCTGAAGTTCTGCGTCAGGGCATCTTGCTGCATACAGCCAGCATTTGTTCAGGAACCTCAGTGGTTGTCAGTGTTATAGTATATCTAAAATAGACCTTTAATGTGTGTGCATGTGTGTGTTCGCCCCTGTTGGAGTGAGAGCAGTGCTTTTCCAGTCAGGAAGTTAGTATTGCGTTTTCTTTAGCTCTGGACAGGCTTTTACTACTTAACAGCATCTGGAGCAGTGAAGAGACACCCGTAAATGCATTGAAACTGTAGCTTTATTGTGGAAAACTTCTGTAGAGTGTATCTCATTAAAGAAGCTTTTTAACACTTTGCAAGCACAAACCAAAGCTTTTAAAATACCTAAGCCACTCAGGACTATGCTAATACTTTATAGGAAGGAAGCTTCACTGTGGATGTACCTCAGCTGAATGTGCCGTACTAACCTCAGTCCACACTGAAATCCAAACTGTTTATAGTCTGTGTTTTGTAGATCACTGGTGGCTAAACCTTTTGAGCTCCAGGGAATTCAGACACTGCTGTAGTGAGGCTTCGAGGCTGGGACTGCCAGCTGGTCAGCAGGGATCGTGTTGGTGCAGGGGCTCCCTGGTAACCTGACACGATTCCCAGAGGTGAAGTGTGGGTGGCAGAAGATCCGGAGACCAATTTCACCAGGCTACCTGACAGCTCAGTGGCACTACCCATCCTAAGCAGAGGGGCTGCACTTCCAGCGTGCTTGTGAACCATTCCCTTGATGCCTACTTTCAGCGCTGATGTCTTCAAAAGTTCTTAACCATTTGAATACGCTTGGCTTGAAGTTTAGACATTCCCCAGTGTAGTTGTGCACCTACATTCAAGCATAGACTTAAGAAAAGAGTCCTGAAGTGTTGCTGGAGTGACTTCTTTCTGAAGAACTGTAGGAGCTGCTTTTGCTTCCTACCTGTGACATCTGGATGTTCGTAGATGTGACTCACAGCCATGTATTTGCAGATCTTGACAAGACTGGTCAAACGTCATTTCCTCTGGATGAACCATGCTGGTGTGCTGTGTTGTACTCTCCAGTTGCCTCTGTCTGAGGATGAAAACAAGTCATCAGAAAAGCTCTCCACTGTTCTTCAGTCACAGAATCATAGAATGCTTTAGGTTGGAAGGGACCATTAGAAGTCATCTAGCCCAACCCCCCTGCAGTGAGCAGGGACATCTTTAACTAGATCAGGTCATTTAGAGTCCCATCCAACTTGACCTTGAATGTTTCCAGCAATAAGGCCTCTAGCTTTCCATCCACAAGTACGCCCAAGTCCTCCTCAGCAGGACTGCTCTCAATCCCTTCGTCCCCCAGCCTGTATTGATATTTGGGGTTGCCCTGGCCCAGGTGCAGGAGCCTGCACATGGCCTTGTTGAACCTTATGAGGTTCACACAGGCCCACCTCTCCAGCTTGTCCAGGTCCCTCTGGATGGCAACTTGGCCTTCTGGCATGTCAACTGCACCACTTATTGATTTATTAGCAGTCACCTCAGCTGCTCCTCACAAGCAGTACTGCCTTTACTAACTTGTGCTCCTTTCCATCTCTTCTTGCTCAGGACTTCTTGCAGAATCTTGCTCTTCTGCCTCTTCTCATTTCTTTTTGTTGATTCTGTGTGCTGGTTTCTACCTGGAGGCTTCCTGCAGTCTTCCTGTGCTGAATTGCAGACAAACTGGAGAAAAATACCAATATGTGTCAGGGTATATGAGTGTGAGCCTACAAATAAAATCCAACCTTTTGTGGCCATCCCATACTTTCTTTGTTACCTGTAAAAGTTCATCGCAAGTTGCTTATGAGAAGGGGACAAAGTAACATTACCCTAATATGAATCTTATATTTTAAAAGAAAATGCATTAATTTTATTGATGCTACCTTTGTGCCTTGCTAGAAGGAGCAATACGCCAGATCCCCTCTTCTGCAGAAGACATAGAATACTAACATGTATAGAAAAGGTTTAACGTGCACTCAAGTCCAGGATGGAACAATAAAGTTCAGAGTGCTATTCATATGACCATGCTTTCTTTATAATGTTGTTGCAATTATGATAATTGAGGTTACATTGTTAAAACAGCAGTTGAGTACCTCTGAAGTTCATTGTTGGTGCTAGATTGATGTATAGTTTTGACTTTTTCAGGAAACGTTTTTAGATGTAGCATACACAAGGAGGCAGCATCTTCCTTTGCTTTTCTTCATTTCTTCTCAGAATTTGACTGGAAACTATATATCTTTCCTTCCTTTATCCAAAGCATGTACTTGCACTTAAAACATACATGGACAAACCTCCTTTAATGTGGGTAGCAAATACATTGGTTCTATGCATTACAAATAGTATCTGCTTGGTGGCAGAAATTAAGTAAACTTCAAGCATCTCGAATAATAAAGAGATGTAATGGAATATTATTAGAATGTTATTTAATCCTTAACGTTTCATGAGTATGCTAAAAAATTAGGGACTTCACTTGCAGGAATTTATTACCTTTGTCCTTAAACTACACCTAAAATGTATTATCATAATAATATGCAAGTTAGGGGTTTTGGCTTCCCAAGAGTTTGGAATTGATTGCACATGTGCCCTGGATTGGTTGTCTCAGCTTAATGTTGTGCACCGTTTGCATGCAGACATGTTAATCTCATGTTTGACAGTGTCAGTGTGACATGCATGCTGATTTTGTCTTCTGTGGACAGGTTTGTGTACCCATTTTACTTCAGGAGCATTTCTACTGAACAGGTTCATTTTACAATTAACTTCAATACAATTAATCTCTTTTTAGGAAGCAGTTCTGTATTATTAAATGGTGGCATCATCCTGTTTTGAAACTTAAATGCTTACATACTAATGAAGTGCTTGCTTCTTGTCAGTCCAAATGGTGCCATTCTATATAAGCTGAGGCTGAGCCTCAGCTCACTAGCTACTTAAAAATACAAAATTTTTTTCATTGTAGCCAGGCTGATTCAGTCTTCGAGCAAGAAAATTACAATAAACAGGAAGAGGCATCCCGAATGACCACTGACTTACACGCTGTCTCTTCCATGTCTTGCAGTTAATTTCCTTTGCTTTATCTTCTTTCTTCCAGATTTCCTTCTAGAATTTGTTTCTGGTTTTCTGTCATCCCTGTTGCTCTGCTACAATAAATAGAGGAACACATTTGGCACAATATGCCTAGATTTATTTAGCTTGTATGAAAAAACGTAGTTTAGATACTAGGAAAATTCAGTGTGGACTGGCTGCCAAATAGTCAAGATATTTTGAAAACCCCTGCCTTTTGTATGCTGTTCGTTGACATTCAACGTTGTCTGAGCTGTTTTGTATAGCACTAAAAACCTGCACATCCTATTATAGATGGACAGACTAACAGTATTCTTTTGGAAATTTTCTAGAAAATTTGGAAGATAGTACTGATGAGGATGCCCCATTGCATAGTCCTGGGACGGAAGGAAGGTGAGCGATCTTTGTTAACAGGTAACTGGATCTGACTCTAGAAAAATTACTGTCATTTCCTCTTTTTGTAGCACATCGTGTGTCCATAGAAGATACCTCTGACATTGTTTCATTCTACTTTGTCCACCATTTCAGTAGAAAGGAGGAAATAAAGATACACATTCTGCAAAATATGACTATTTTCTTTCTAACTGTGATGCAATTTTTCTTTTAGTTCATTATCTTCAGATCTTTTGAAGCTTTGTGGTGAAGTCAAACCCAAAAGCAAGGTAGGCTGTACAATGATGATGCTAATAATTCATATTTTAATGTCACCTTCTGGGGAATGTTCTTGCTTTGTTGTGGAGACATTAATGAATGAAAACATGCAAAAGGTGAACTGACATACTGTTCATGTGACTCGTATGTAATATGCTTTTGTCTGATAGTGCTTTCTGAGAAGCAGTGATAAAAATGTACTTTTTTTGTATTTTTTGGTTGAATTTTTACAGTTTCAGAAAGATACGTTCTTCCAATTACTAGCACTCCAAACTGGAGTAGATTTGCAGTTTAGTGTTAGTCAGGCTGCAGTTTAATGCCAGTAGGAATTGTGAACGTGCTTGTTGTTTGCAATTTGCTTCTGTGGTCATAGAAATGTAAAGAGAGGAAGTCTATGAAATAAATAAAAGTTTGATTTCCAGGCTCATAATTACAGATGCCATTGGAGGACTATATCTAGGCTGGCTGCAGTTTAATCTTCATGGCTGTGGGGACTGGAAACATGTGCACTGATGGCCGTTTCGCTCCTGTGAGCACAGGAGCATAAACCAAGCTTGCAAAGTAAATAGAAGCTTAGCCTCCGCTCTTCTAACTGCAGCTGGCTTTGGAGCAAATCTAGGCTGGCTGCTGCATTATTGGTAGCGTTCATTGGTGTGCAGCTCTTTGGGCAGGTGAACTGACTGAGTTTGGCCTGAAAATGTTGGCATAAGATAAACATGTCATTTTTGTAATGGCTCTGTTCAGACTGGACCTTCGTCTTCCTCAGTAGCCTTTCTTTCACTGAGGAATAGATCTTAATTTCACAGCATCATCACACCTAGCGTGTATGATGAGTTTTTTAAGAATGAGTGTGTTGCACAAAGCTTGGCTCCTTTGTGAGGTTTTCTGTTTTCAGATTGTTGAAATGCCAATATAATTGTAGCTATTTACATTTACACTTTGCTTTGTAACATTTCATTTGGATAAACCTTAGGAGAATAATACTGTACTTGTGCCGTATTGACAGGCACTTGTAGCTAGTTGAAAGGATATCCTTGGAAACCAGTTGTCAAATCAGTGTTTCATGCTGTTGAATTTGACTTGCTTGCTCTGAAGTAGTTGCCAAAGAGTAGAGGTAAGCTCCTTGATTTAGTTTTCAAAGGTAGTTGCAAAGTGAATTGAGGGGGATGCTAAGTACCAGCTAATTATAAGCTTAAATGTAGCACTTTTGACACATACCACAAAATGTTTAAGTCACAACTTGGTTTTTATTTGTCTCCAGGCCCGCCGGAGGACCACTACCCAGATGGAATTGCTGTATGCAGACAGCAGCGATTTAGTCTCTGACACTAGTGCTGCAGACTCTGCTTTGGCTGGTCCTCTTCCATCAGTTGCAGAAACCCAACAAAGTGGGATGGCTGCTGACACAAATGATACTTCTGCTAGGGACAGAGAGTTTATTCCCCCACCATCTGGCTTACCTTCTAAGATAGGTGGCATGTAAGTTTGGCCATGCTGTACTAATGACCCTGTGCTTTTAAAAAATGCATGTTGCCAATTTCTTGTAATCTGTTAAAGGAGGTTGATGTACTTGAAGCTTACTAAATAATACTGACAAAGCTCCTCCTTCTTTTCTACCATCACCAGTCTAGCAAGTGTAAATGCGCTGTTGTAAGTAACGGGTTTCTTACTGAAGATATAAGTTCTGTTAGGTTGCTTTGTCATAGTAAAATTATTGTAGCCTTGTTTGTAAGTAGTGGGAAAACCCCCATCTGCTACCTTGGGTACTTTGCTTTATTAGTGCTGTGGGGAATACACATTCTAGGGAGGTAGTGAGAATCTGCTTGGAACAGCAGAGAAATTAAATAAAAAACCATTCCAAAACACAACCCCAAAACTTTTATATAATGTAGTAATGGTATCTGTATATGGTTCCAACTGTTAGGTAAAATCTTTCTGTGAGTCATCTTGTGTGGACCATACTTAACATGGAGGTGTCTGTGCACTAATAGAGTACGCAACTGCAAAGTTGAAAGAAACATGTTGGATATTATGAATCCTCAAAAATCCTTTCAATTTGCAGGTTGTGCTCGCCTGCAGAACAGTTTTACTAATTGGAAATATTACTTGATGCCAAATACAACTCAAAATACTATTTTTGTCGTTTTACTTTGGGGCCAGCAGGCCTCTCTCACATGCACTTTTTTTTTTTTAACTTGCTCTTGCTGTTCTTTTTATATCTACCTATATCACTGTTGGTTATTATACAATTGCTGCTAGAGACCCTTCTCTTGGCTTTTTAGGTACTAGCTCCTATATTGCACAAACTCGTGTAAACTGAATGCGCTAGCCATGTTCAGCAATATAGAAAAACTGTGTCACATAACTATCTTCATGTTACAGATTCTGGAACTGTGCATCTTTCACTATCTGTCTGTCCTATTTGCATAATATTTTTACAGCAGTCTCCATCTAATGTACATTTGCAATTTGTATTATTTTTACTATGTATTTCTAGCATGTGCTTGAGGTGGCAATCATGAACAGTAAACCACCGCTGACAGCAATTATTAACCCATGCTGATGGCTTCAGTGCATTTTGCAAGTAGAATCTGCTTGGAAAGAATGCTTTTGGGGGTGAGGGGAGGTAGAGAAACTCACTTGTTTCAGCAGTTAGTGTGAGATCACTAGAGACTTTTGAAGCTTCAAGATTTAAAACATCAAGTGTTATGACCTGGCATCCAAGACTCAGGTAATGCCAACTTTTGCCTCACTCTGTCTTCTAGAATGTATCCCTTTATGAAAGTCAGCCAGCAGTGAGGCAAAACAGGATTTTCCCAAAACTGTGTTCTGTGAGCATTAGAGTTTCCGTGCCGTCAGTGAAACAATTCAATCAGCAGTGGGCTTCACATATGTTTTGGTTTGTTATTCATCATGTTTTAGCAGATAAGTGATCAACAATTCCCACAACCAGTCTGCAGTGACTTCCTCACTCCAATTGAGAAGCTTTTTCAAAACTAGAACTCAGCATACTTTATACAGTATTGCTATTTTTGCTGGTCGTTGGTCATTGTTGAAGAAAGGTTTTCTTTGTGAGCCATCTGGCCTTCCTATATGGGCCTGTAGTGCCATCCTATCATTTCACAGAATCACAGAATAGTAGGGGTTGGAAGGGACCTCTGTGGGTCATCTAGTCCAACCCCCCCGCCGACG